GGGGCTTGTGACCATCCTTCAAGGTAACTGGGAGCTGGCTGGATGCAAGCGCTCACCCCGCCCGCCGCCCACACTCAATCTTCCTACCTAAATAAATGTTTTGTCGCAGGAAAAAGTTAGTAGGCACTTGGAGACTTTTGGCCTGTATGAAAATATCTGGGTTAAATTACCTAACTTCCAAAGAATCAACTAGGCTTAAAATACCCGTTCCACCTTTTAAGGTTATGAACATTAAATAACACGTGAAAAGGTTCTGCGGGGCACAAAGTAAGCGCTCAATAAACGTTTTAGAGGAATTTGCCTTAAATCCTCCGTTGTATAAGCGAAAACTGCTTATTTTACTATTGCAGCTTTTCGAGATTCTGGCCAGAATCTCTACCCATCGGAGAGGGGTCGCTAGCTCTCTGGGCCACGCGACAGCACCAGAAGGCCCAGAATATGAGATCGCATGGGGGTGGGCGTCCGTTCTTAGCGAATGAACTCCTTTTGACTCTTCAGGCCTCATATTCCCAGAAAGGAGGTCCACAGGGTCCGGGAAAAACGCATTGTAAACTCGGGGCTGAGCCCCAACCATAGAGAAGTGCGGAGAGACGAGTCAACTCAGTATAAGGTGTTACCCTTCCCTTCCTAATCCCGGTGTTCTCTCCAGGGGACCACTGAGTGCAGAGAATTCTTAAGCTATGAGGTTCGTGCAGTAGATCATTCCCTATCCCTGTATTCCTCAATAAAACGAATTCTTCGGAAAACTTCCTTGAATTTTTTTCATGGGAGAGACATCTTACAGGTGAATGCAAAAACTTCATCATCCTTCCTTTCTATTAGTGTGCCCGCCCCTTCCAGGACACCCCCGCTCCCGAACCCGCCCGCGTCCCAATCTCTACCGAGAACTCCAGCCCCGGCCCCAGGAGAAGAGTTTAATTCCGGCCGCCACCTCCCACCGCTGCGGAGATGAAGGCATTTTCCATCCTTTGAGCGTCTGTTCTCCATGCAGCTGTTGAGCTCCAGGAGAGAGAGTGTGTGTGTGTGCGCGCGCGCGCGCGCGCGCGTTGGGGGGGGGGACTAAAAACTCAGACTTGCAGCACTTCTTGTTGTGTGGGCTGGCTGGCAAGCCCGGTAAAAAGCCCAGGCCCAGGAAAACTACCCGGCCGTGCAAAATGAGCTCAGAGAGGCGCTTTGGGAGACCTCCCAGCCTCTTGATTTCAACTCTGCCAGCTCCCGGGTGCGTGAGAAATGGCTGGCGCAGGGAGGCGCGGGGCTAATGCGCCATCCCAAATTGCGGTGCCCGCCAGCAGGAAGCCTCAGAGGCACCAGATTTCCCTTCCGCATTAAGAGGGTTTTTCTCCCCCCCCCACCCTTGGCTGGCGGAGGGCTTTTTAAATTGGATGTGGGGATCCTCGATTAGAAGTGTGGCGAAGATAGCAAAAGAAACAGTGGAATATTCTCCTCTCACTGAAGGACGCTCCCAGTTCCCGCCCTAGGGAGGGTGCCGCAAGCGCCCCGAAAGAGCCTGCTCCTCTCCCGGGACCTGGTGTATTTTTCCCTCTGAGTGCCGCGGGGGCTGGTTACGGTCGGAGCCCATATTTGCTGGGCGGCTGAATTGGGGCGGGGAAGTCTGGGGAATCCGCGCACAGGGCGGGACCTTCTTCTCAGAGTCCCTTTGGGCCCCACCCAGCGGCACCTCTTTTGTCACTCTTCCAAAACATCTACATCTGCCACATGTGTTTCCTCCGCGATCACCATCGGCCTTTGCAATGCGCGAGAACAGCTTCACTCGCCACGTGTGGGAACCAGGCTGCCTCCTGACCTCCACGCCGAGGTCGGCTCTGCCAGGTGACACGCCACACTGTCTTGTGATGAGCAGGCTCGACCAACTTTGGGTCCAGGACTGATGCACCCGGTGGGGCAAAAAGGGCGCGCCAGGGACGCCTGCACTGTGTGAGTTCCCTGGACTGGGACTTTGAGGAAGCCCAGGAATGCTGAAGGAGTGTCTATGCAAGAGGCCGCTAGTCGATTCTGAGTTCCCGGCACCAGGGGGCACCAGAAACCGCCCGAGTCCCGTAGTGCCCACGCGGCCGGGAGGCTGCGTTGTCATTTTAAGTAAAAAAATCGGAGAACCACCACTCCCTCTACAAACCTCCCCAAACCGAATTAGCCCGGGAACCTGTGGATGTCCCTACTGGCATCCCTGCTTCACCGTCTCCTACCCCTCCGTTCTCTCTCCCTAGTTTCGGTCTTCCCACTTCCACTCAGGTGGTTTCTTGGCAACCTGCTTTTCGACAACCCCTTCGCCTCGTCACCGAGACAGCTTTGCAGCGGGTGAGCGCTCCCGCCGCCAGTGCCCCCGCACTTTCTTGTGCTGGCAGGCTGGGAGGTTTGTTTGGGCTTTGCCTTCAAGATCCAGGTCTCAGGAAAGGAAAAAGGAGGCGGTGGAGCGGGAAAGGGGGGTTCGCTACAAACTCGGCGATTTTCTTTTGGGGTTAGAGACAGAAAATACTGAAAGCAATAGCTTTTCTTCATTGTGTCTAGTAACCTAAACCCATGGAGGACTTCTTCTCCTCTTAACCCCCCATAACTGCCTGGCCCAAGACAAGGGAAGGAAAAATAATGTGGGACTCTTTTAGCCAGCAAGCTGGGTGAGGGTTCCGAGAGCACTCGAATCTCTTGCAGGAGTGGGGTAAAGGACGCGGTGGGCTTCCTGCACTTGTCTAAAAGACGACACCTCCCCCGCCAAAACGAAGGCGCCGCGGTGAAACAGTGAGGGCTTGCTCCGGGCAGGAAAGAAACCCAGCGGATCCCACTTTGAGAGCTTTGTGGGAGGTATTCCGCGCGCGTGGGGGTGACATTGCATCTTTTCCTTGAAACACTCCAGTATTCAAAATGCGGGGGAAGAGTCTATCGCCCTCGAACATATCTACAGCAGGGGCTGGGAGAGTGTGTTTGCCCGCGCCAATGAGCACAAACGTGGCGAGCTCCGGGCTGGACAGCCCTCCCGGGGCGCGCGCAAAGGCTCTGCAGGCAGATTCTGCCACGGGCGGAAATCAGCGAGGCGCCAGGAGCCTGGAGGGAACCCGGTGAAAGTCCATTCCAGCCCGGGCGAAGGTTCCTTTTCACTGGCTGGGGCTGAAAACGGAACCTTCGCGGAGTCAAACCCCAGGTGGTGCAAAGTGGTGGAGCGAGGCACAGAGCACAGGAGGCACAGAGCACAGGAGGAAAAAAAGGTCATTAAAATAATCACCTCCGTGGCCTAGTGGAGACCTTGAGGAGCCCCAGGGTCTGCTCGAGATAGAGCCCTGAAGCCAGGAATATCCAAGGAGCCGCTCTCCTAACCTCAGCCGAGCGAGGGCATTAGGAAAGTGCAAGCAAATGGGCCCTGAAAAAGGCGTGGAATGTAGCTTTGGGAGACCTCCCCTCAGGAGGTGAGCCCTCTATTTTTACGTTCACGGGACCTTTGCAGCAGTCTTTCCCGAGGCCTGAGCTTTCTCTAGGAACAGACCAAAACAAGCTCAATAGTAAGTTACATTCCGGGCAATAGTAACATCTCTGCAGCTGCACTTCTGGAAAAGACATTTTGGCGACGGCGGGTTCCAAGATGACCCAAGCCCGGTTTGGTTCCGTGACGTGTCAGAGGAGCACCCTGGCAAGTTGGGAGGTTTACTTCCCCTTCCAGACATTTCGGGGTCCAGGGGCATCAGGGGCTCCATAGATCTTTGCCCACGTGGAAAAGGCATCCTGCCCCTCCGCAAGGCCAGCCTCTCTACCATTTAACTTCTCTCTTCTCGGTCCACCCAGAGCCTCGCCTCCCTCTAGTCTACTTTCCACTCTCACTGCACGCTCTGGGGTGCAAACGCGCCCTTTTGTCCTAGACACTCTGCACATCCAGCTGTGTCCGCTGGCGACGCAGACAGCATTCACCCTCTCCACCCAGACTTCCCCCACCCAACTTACCTCGGATCCGGTCTCCGCAGACCCCCAGGTGGACATTAACTCCAGGTGGACCGAGTCCCAGCCAGGACACCCATCCGGGCCGAGGGCAGGAGCGCGAAGCCCCGCCCAACAGGTCTGGGGCAAGAGTTCGAAATCCTGGGGTTGCGCGGGGCAGCGAGGGAACGCAGGAGGCGGCGGCCAAGGCTCCAGCCGCCGCCGCCGCCAGAAGGGCGAGGGCTGCCGACACCTCCTCCGTAGGTCTCCTGTACCCCCAGAAGCCGAAGTCTGAGCAGCCGCCCCCTCCTTGGGTGAGGGGTGACACGGCTGCGCGAGCGGCGCTCTTGGCTGGGGCTGCACCGGCCCCTGGCGCTGCGGGCCGCTCAGCGGCAGCCACCGCACTCTGCGCCTCCTCGGGGCGCAGTGGCTGGGAGTGTGAGACGGGCCTGTCTGATGCTGCCGCGGGAGCTGAGGTCTTGCCTGGAGATCCGAATGAGACACCACGTCAACCCGCGCGGGCAGTCCCTTGAAGACATGAGGGCGCCAGGAGCGCAGGCTGGTCGTCGGGAGCCCGGGCCTGGGGGCCGGTGTGGGGGAGGGGAGGCTCGGGGCCCGAAGAGGGGAGGGGTCGGGAGGCTGTGGCGGGCCTGGCGGTGGGGGAGGGAGAGGAGAACAGCGAGGAGGCGCTGGAGCTCGGAAGGCCAGGCGCTGGGTGCGAGTGGGTGACGCGAGGCGCCCCTCCCCGGGGTGCAGGGAGAGCGCTGAGCGCGTGGAGACGCCGCCGGGCTCGCGCCTTCTCCTCGCCGGGTAGATCCAGAGGAATGTGCGGAGCTCGGCTCGGAGCAACAGAAAGGGGCAATCCGAACTTGGCCGCCGCACCCGCGCCGGGCTTCGCCTCTGTGCCCCGCTCTGGGAGGAAGGGCGCTCTGCCTGGTGCAGGCTACACTAGGCTTTCCTCGCGCCTGTCGAAGACGTTCCTTCCCCCTCGGCGGTCTCGCCTTCTGTCTTTTCTGCAGGTAGAAGGCAGCGGCGAGACGAGGAGCTGTCTGCTGGAGTTCTCCTAGCACCAAGGAGGAGAGATGTGGAGCGGCCCAGGGAGGGAAGCCGAGTGTTTGCCAGGGGACGCTGCGAGTGGGGATGCATTTATAGGACTCTCACTTCGTGACGTGCCCTCCACTGGCTTTTCTGATTCGCTTTCTGACCTAAACACACATTAGTTTAGTCCCCATGCTAGGGCCAACACGGTCTCCAAATATCTGCTGGCTGAAGTCAGAGGCTTTGCATATCATGTATTACATGGCAGGCAATGAAGAAGGCTTCTGAGGCTGGCCGGCTCCTCAGTCCTAGGCTCCATTTTCATGCTGTTGTAATGTAATACCAGACATGGGGTAGGCACATACATTCAAAATCCCAATTCCAGAGGCGTAAGATCATTTTGTCAAGAAGAGGTCAGGGGAGGTTGGGCAAAACCTGCGTTTATCCAGATTTTCGAAAATGAGATGGAAAACCTAAGCCTGTGATCCCGTTGGGTGCTTAGTTTCCAGCGAGCAGAGACCCAGCCCCCATTTCAGAGCTCCGAGTGGGAGAGGTGAGACCTTTTCGGCATTCCTTTTGTTGGTTAGCTCACCACCAGAAGCAGCCAGGAGCCTTCCTTTGTAGAGGACAGGAGGAGGGCAAGTCCTTACACACCCTGTACATGGCTATAACCATAAATACGTTCCATTCACATGGAGCATGAAATTAGCTCCACCTTCAAAATAATGTACTAACTAGAGGATGTCTTTGCTAAGCAGAAACCTGTTTTCCGGAAGTGACTGGACCTGAATTCGGTTGGACTTCTTTTATTTTATTAGTTAGGAACCTGAAAAGTGTAAACAGGCTCAGTTTACATCCAGGTAACTTTTATTTTATGACTCACCCCCGTCGTTGGGGAGTATGTGTTCTTCAAGTAGCTCATGCAGACAATAGACAAGGGAAATGTGTGTGGCAGAGTGTGTGAGTGTGTGTGTAGGGGGGGATCACATTAAACTTCTTAAAAGTCAAAGATCAGCTACTTTGGAGGTTTGTCAGTGAAGCTAGTGTGGGTGGGAAATTGTTCTCATCAACAATACTGTGATAAAAGATGAAGTGGAGTGTAAGTCAAGTCATCCAAACATACCTTACTTGAAATCAGGAGGCTCTTTGCGCTGTTCTGTGGAATGCGACTTTTCCTTCTTTGACAGATCTATGGTAGCAGTGTAAATGGGTTTGGAAATGGGAGGACAGAACAAGCTTGATTTGCTCATTCCAATTTAGCATTGTTTTTGGAATTTGAAGACAGTGTTTTTATCGTGAATGATTTCTTCATTTTAAGTAGGCTTTTCACTGGAATGGTCAAGCTGTCCAGACACCTGCAATTATTTAGTACTAGCTGTGTGCTGGCCGAAGTGCTAGACCCTGAGAATTGTGGTGATTGGATTTTAGGGGGTTGCAAGGAGAAGATACACTGACTTAACCTTGAGTGATGGGAGTTTACTGTGGAAGGAAGGCTGACCGGAATCTCCACCACTCAGCCACGTGTCTCTGAAAAGCCTTCCGGAAAGGCCACTGGGCCAGGCCTCACGAAAACTGGATTGAAGTTCAGGAACTGGAAGGTCATTCAGGATACGGCTCTGGGACTGGGTTATCTCGCTGCCCCCTCAGTGGCAGGCATCTGCTGGCCCTACTAACAGGCTTAACCACCAAGGTAATTCAGCTCCTCTCTCTCCCTGTTTTTCTCTGGGCTTCCTTTGGCTTCTGCTCCTGCAACCAACTGCTCAGCTCTCTGTTCATCTCACATCTAAACTCCTTAGTGAAAGGATCTAATTGGCCTCACTGGGCACTCACCAAGTGCTTGAGCTGGACTGAGATTTTGTATCGGGGTCTCCTTGTAGGTGGCTGACCTTAGGTCAGGTGCCTATTCCTGGACCAATCATCTATGCTCAGGTTGTTGGTATCACAGGGTACAGAACCTGGCCCCTATTTCTTGGGAAACTTGCTTCCCACCTCTTTACAGTGGCTGTCCTCAGAATAGGCTGTGTTAATGGGAGGCACTTAGAGTTTTAACAGCCCATGTTCACTGTAAGACTCGGATGAATAAGATATGAATCGCAGCCCTGTATAAGCGTACCATTTATAAGGAAAGGGAGACACATACGAAAGTATCCTTGGTACAGTATGAAGTGATATATACTCTTCACGGAAGTGTACATGAGGTGCCCAGATACTGTAGTCTGATGTTTAATGGGCCCTGAAACTCTGGCAAGATGACCAAAAATATCCAGACCTTGACTCTACCCAAGCATCTCTTGAGGGGTGGAGTCCAGGAGTTGACAGGTTTTTTTGTTTGTTTGTTTGTTTTTAATTTTTATTTTTTAGTTGTAGTTGGACACAATATCTTTAATTTATTTTTATGTGGTCCTGAGGATCAAACCCAGAGCCTCACACGTGCTAGGTGAGCACTCTACTGCTGAGCCACACCCCCAGCCCTGAGTTGACAGTTTTTAAATGCTCTCTAAGTTTATTTGTTAGCTTTATTTTTTTCCCCAAAGGGTGTCATTATTTTATGGTTCCTTTTGAAAGCCTAACTAAGAAACTCACTATATTTTGATAGTCTAGACTAAGACTCTTTGAAAACATAAATTCATTTTGAAATACTAATTATCTTCAACACTAATATAAAGGAAACCATAAAATTTAATTTAGAATTAAAGCAAACATTTCTAGTTTTGAAAGAACATCTATTTTTAGGATTGCAATGTTCAGGTGAATGCTGAACAAGTTCTTTTTGAAGTCACTGCCTCAAACATGGGTAAACAAGAAGCAAGCACTTGGTGTCTTGGGAACAAGGTGATGGCTTGCTGTCACAATTGCCACAATCCCACAAGTTGAAAGTGGGGGCTCTCACAGCTCAGAGGCTCCATCTTCTTCAAGGACACAAAGATGAGTGTGATTTGCAGTTGTTTCTTGGCCAAGTCCTGAAGGGAACAATCCATAGCACTGCTTTGGCTCAGTAGCAGTCTCCTCTGACAAAGCAAGGAGAGCAGCTTCTAAGAATTCCGACCTCATCTCCAGATCTCAGCTTTTCCTTTAGAAAACCCTGCCTGAAGTTGGGAAAGAGCAAGTGATACACCTCCCATCTCTTCCAGGAGGAAAAAGTTTCAAAGTCCTGCTCATTTTCTGTTTCACCTGTGTCATTATCTTTATTGGGATTTCTCACGAATCTCTAACAGAAAGATGTCTAAATAGTTGGTGCCTTTGTGCTCCAGGATCTTACAGTCCTGGGCAGAGAAAACATGAACATAAAGTGGCAAAAAATAAAATGGCAAAAAATAATTCCATAGTCTCAAAGTATCATGCAGCTGTGGAATCCAAGGTAGGCCTTGGTAGGGGTAGGTATGCAGAGATAAGGGTGGAGAGTCGGTGCTCCAGGCTGGATGAAAGGGGTTTGGGGGGAGACTCATGCTAAGTGCTCACATGTTCTTGTTCAGCCTCCCTGGCCTGGAGGGACTGCAGCCTTTGGAGGTAGTGGGGTGGGCCATTCACAAAGTTCTCACAAGCTCCCAGTGGGTCTTTGCAGCTGCTTTGCCTATAAGGGCAGGACCCGAGTCCCTGGACTCCCTTATAATCTTGGGTCATGACAGCTGAAACAGAATCCATCACTTAAGCAGGGCAATTTCCTTTTCAAAGTCTCTGCTTTATTGGGCAGGGATTTTTCCATGCTTGCTCGCTGTTTAACAGCCATTTTCACAAATGATACTATTGCTCATGAAGAAAAGATAAATTTACCTTCAGACCATTTAAAAAGGAGAAAAGCAAGGGGTGGGGAAACGGGAGGAAAGGGTGAAAAGGCACTTTAATGGCCTTTTTGCGCTGTAGTGAGAAGAGACCAATTCTTTGGAACAAATTGTTTTTCAGAATTAATTGTGTCGGACATTGGCATGGTAGTTATCAATGATTTCTAGCAGTTTCTTTGATAATGATCAGATTGTCTAATTATCCACTAATTTTGTTTTTGTTTCTTGAGATTGCTTTATGAGACATCTCTTTTCCAAAAATAAAACTTCAATCAGGTGAAAATATTATTTACTGCAGATTTTATAACTATGCAAATGGTCTCAGAGAGTTATGAAATTCCAGAGCTGGAAGGGACCTGAGACTTCTAGTCCAGTCTCCTCATTTTACCAGGAAAGCCAACAGAGGCAGAGTGGTCATGTGACTTTTCCAAGGTCACTTTGTAAATGATACACCCCTACCATCCAAGTAAATGTGGGATCAAACTACTTCACTGATGTGTGTGTGTGGGGGGGGGGAGAGTCTGTGGGAGGGTGTTGGGTCATCTTTCTTTGAAATTGTGATTGAGTATAATTTATTGAGACAATAAGTGAATCCAAATTCAGAAAAAAATAAACTAGAAGCTTTATTGGTAGCAGAGGTGGCTGTCAGGCCAAATGGG